ATTGTTTGATTTATTTTTCGCGCGAAAATGTATCAAACAATTTTTTCAATATTTTACATCATTTTTTCTTCACATTTAATATAATTTATTGAGTAATTTAAGATATTATTTTAGCAAATTTGAATTTCTTTTTCTATTACTGAAATATGCATATTTTTCATAAAACACAATAATTAACGAATGAAAATTTCTGAGACTTTTTGTTTGCATTGTCCTTCTCAGATGCTTTTACAGCTAATTACCGTAAATTATTAGAGCAATTACCTTAATTATTAGAGTTGTAACTTTTTAAAAAGTACTATCTGAAAAATCTTTTCTTATATTTGCTTACTCAGATAAACGAATGCCATGAAAGTGTTGTTGATACTTTCTATCATTCACATTTACAGTCACATTTTTCATCTGGTAACTTTTAATTATTTTGCAATGATTTCAAAAATAATCCTTAATTTTGGAAATGCAATGTGCCATCAGAAAGTATCCTCAGATGCATCATAAATTTAATAGATACTTTAATCTAACTTTTATTCTTGAACTGATGCTCAAAACCTAACATAACTTATTTGTTTTTTACTAAACTTTTTCAACTTTTGACTTTATATTGTGGCAGAAATTCAAAAAGAGCTTTCAATTAGCAATTTATACACCGTCTATCATGACTTTCTGCTTTAAAAATAAAACTAAAATTCCCAAAAAAATATAAAGCTCTTTTTGAATTTCTGAGAAATGAGGTAACATAAAATATTTTTGAGGTGATTGTAAATTATCCCATGTGAAGATTTAATCCTTTTAATATGTTATACAAGTTCAGATGAGCGACAATATGTGTTTACGAGAAGTAAAAATTTGAATAGTGCAAGTTTCTGTCAACAAATAGCACTTATGGTTTTTTTAAGATTTATGCGCAAAAATTCAATTCAAAAAACAAATTTGGGATTGTATTGCAAAATTAATCAAACCAAATTGCGTTTAAAAAAGGTTGAACTTTAATGAAATGAGGTAACATAAAATATTTTTGAGGTGATTGTAAATTATCCCATGTGAAGATTTAATCCTTTTATCACTAATGCAAAGTCAAGCTTCAATTTTTTTACTCTTTGATCCTCAGAATAAAAATTGCATCTGATAACTCTGAACTTTTGTTGACTAATATTTGATAACGGTATATTCAATAGCACATCGAAATTCAATTCTGCCAAAAAATTTCTGCTTAAAATCCGTTTTGCCTTCATGCAAACTTTGCTTCAAAGAATTTATAATATAGACTGTCAGTGAGTTTGAATTTATTTTTCTTTTTGTTTGGGAGTGACATTTGTGGAGCGAAATTCATTGCTTTCCCGAAAAATAAGAAAATAAATTTAAACTCACTGACAGTGAACTTAACATGTGAAATGAGCAGCGAACGCTTCAGCTTGGCAGCCGATTGTAGAAAAAGTGAATTGTCACTGCAATATTTATTACTTTAGCAGTGACAGCTGGAAATAAACAGATGTAAAAAGCGAAAGACACGTATATAACAGCTGGAAACTTGTGAGATTGTGAACTATTTGTTCAAAATATGAAAGTGAAATGTTCAAATTTGTCATCTTTTTTTGAAATCACTGCCAAAGTTGAAAAAAACTCATTAAATTTTTCTCATTTTTATCTCTTTTGATTTATGTGAGGCTAAAAAAGTTTTAAAAATATTCTTCGCAGCGTGCCTTTATAAGCAATATGTGAAATGGCTCTTTCTATTTATATTTGTCGTGTCACTTCTGAATTGGAATTATTTGATCAGTTACGCAAATGATAAAGCAGTAAAGAGTGATTTGTACTAAAAGTTTACTTTCAAGAATTAAAAATAAATGTACTGAGATTAAATTTGTTCGATAAAAAGTATATATTTCAGAAAGTTGAACAGAAGGAAAAAGAGAAGAAGCATCGCGATAGACTACGCAACTTGGAAATCCAACGTGAACGAATTGAAAAAGCTGCGAGGTGACTCTCAAGTAGATTCTGCTCGTAACGAATTTTAATTCTTCGTAGTATTTGATGTGAAAGTTTACTGCTTTGAAAATTACAGCAAACAAAAACTAAAATAAGTGAGAAATAATTTGATCAAACTTTTTACAAAACTATTGAATATTGTGGACTTAATTTTTTTTTTAAATTTACTAAAATTCAAAATTTTTCAAAACTTTGCATTCTTCATATTACATTTATTCGAATTTGTTTTCTGATTTGTTCGTCAGAATGCATGATTATATTTGCTTCAATACTTTTGTTTTTAGCCTTTTTCTCTCTTTACTTTGACGAATATTTCTTTCAATATTTGAAGGCCAAAGTGATAAATCTTGTAAAGTTTTGATTTCGACTCACAAAATT